TGGTTTTAAAATTAAATCTTCTAAATTTCTAAATATTATGAGTGGAATTTTCAACTTTTTGATAATATAGATAGATGATGTACTACTATTTTTAACATCCATTGACCAACATTTTCAAAACTTATGTACTTTCTTAATTTTGAAAAAACATGGATTAGTTGTATAACAAAAACATGGATTATTAGTGCTTCATCAACTCCGCGCGCCTTGGAGCAGTGTCGCTTCGATCAAAATTCTAGTCTAGCAGTATAGTATACTCGACCAAGTTTTCTTCTACATTTATAGTACGATAGAAAATGAGAAAGGGAAAAGAAACAAAATGGACTTTCAAGTCCAAAAACTAAGCAAGTTGAGTCGAAAGATCTATTGAAGGCTTTTCATGTTTAGGTAACATACCAGAACTCTAAAACCTAATCTTTCGTTTTCTTATTCAAGTGCGAAAATTTGTATTAATCCGTCTTGTAAAGAATCACGAAAATGTTATAAAAGACCTTGCCAATATAAGACTTAAAAAAAGAAAAATATGGCCAATATTTGTATGTATATTATTACCAGATATGTATCTATTAAATTTCGGAAATAAGGTTAAAAAAATGGATCATTAAATCCTCCAATGTAAAACATATATCCATAATAATATATCCTCATGAAAATAAACTGTGTCCTGGCAGCGTTCAATAATTTGGTTCTGTTTGGTACAAGAAATTTTGTATTCGATTTATTTGGCCACAAATTAAATCTATCTTATACTCCTGTATAATAAAAGGCTATCTCTCCAGATTTCAGCTGACCTTCACGTTAGCACATGAGAGATGACCACATAGAACATTCTAGGAATTTCTCCCTTTTTTATTATTTTTCACGTGTCACTTCGGTAAAAAAATAATAATTAGAATTCATAATTATTGTCTTATGTTATGTTTCATCTTCCGATTTACTTCTCTTTATTTTCTCTTTTCTACATCTCGATACCGCAAAAATAAATTTGCACAATCATTCTTCCTCGCACATCATCTACTTCCAACGATTCCTGGTCTTACGAAACCATTATTGCCCATATAGATAATGACCTCGCTGGTTACTTCAACAAGCCTAATAGCCGGAGAACTCTTCTGTTGTAGTCAATAGTCTCTCTTCTTTTGAATACAATAGCCGCCGGTTATCTCCATTGTCTCCGTCTCGATTTCCGATCCTGAGAATTCTGGTCTGACAAAACCCGTCCTCCTTTTTTATATCATACCACATGTCTATGTGCTCTCAACTCTCTTTATTTATTCACCGCCACTCTGATTTCCCGCCATTGCTCTTTATTGGATCCGTTTCTCATGATAGAAGCCGAAGGGTAATAGCTTTGGAGTGAGAGAGTGATTTTGTTACCAGAAGTTGAAATGTTTAGCAAATAAATAATGCAATGCAACGTGGAAAGTGAAACAACCGACATTTTTGAAAAAATTGTATGTAATGACTGCAATGCAATATGAAAAGTGAAACAACTAACGGTTTTGAAAAACTTGTATGTAGTGACTGTAACGACCAAAAATATGAAGAGGCTGCTCTCTTTAAAATCTTTGTCATGCCTTAATTTATTAAACATCCAGATGTCAATTATATGAAGAGGGTTGACTCCTATTGATATATATGATTTAGCTGAATTTAGTTATGAATCATAAAAACGGAGAAGGAACACATTTTGAAAAAAATTACAACATCAATGATAAAATAAGCCACAAAATTTTGTTGAAATTTGTAAATCAAACACTTGAATAACAACTACAGTCTACATTTCTTCATCTAATAAAGTCAATCAATGATACACTAATCCACAAAAAATTGTAAATCAGACATTTGAATAACAACTACAGTATACATTTCTTCATGTAACAAAGTCAATAAATATAAATGTTTGTTATGTTAAGATTATTAATAAACATCGTTTGTATGTTTTACAATGAATGAAAAAAGAAGAAGATACAGCTATAGATTTGTAGGAAGGGAAGGAGAGAAAGAGTTTCTCATCTTTGGCTGTCATGGCGTTACTTTGACGGCCTCCACAAGACAACTAACATATCTGCCGGAAAAAAAAAATTGGGACAAACCTCTTCTTTCTTTTTTCTATAATCAAAATCCCTAAATCTCATCCGATCGAGAAATTATGTGTATGAAAAAAGAAAAAGAAAAACACAAAACATCTATGGAAGATATAAGAGAATAATGACGTATTTTGTTTGTTGCATTTCACCACTGGTTTTTTTTGTTTCTTCTTGGAACCATAATTCAGAATCTGCAGGGTTTTTTTTCTTCTTCTTGCTGTTTCTGAAAAAAAAAATATTGGTGACTTCTTCAAAGAGATGTTCTATCATCGTTCATCAAGTCTCTCTCAGTTCGGTTGCTGCATCTATAAGAAGGAAGAAAAACAAATGTCAAATCACTTAGAAAACAAAAACCCATCTTCAATCTCTGGTAAAGTCTGCATTTTGATGCATCTAAGAGAGCAAAGAAAACAACCCATTTTGAATCTCTAATAATGAATTCTATAGTTACCTGGGAATATAAGTATTCGTCGAACATGGAGACAGAGCAAGGCAAGGAGCTGCTGCTAGAACCAAACCTGGTTTGGTTTGGGTTGTTGTTGAAAGCAGAACATCCAGGTGGTGGTGGTTCGAAGAATCCATTCATATGATACTCTCTCTGGTTCATTGGGAAGTTATAAACCTGAGGAGGAGGAGGCAACGTTTGGTGATGAATCAGATCATTCTGCAGATTGGGATTGTATGCTGTGATATTGTTACTATTCGTGAACTGCTGCTGCGAATTTGTCTGCGGTTTCAAATGTCCGTTGGTGGTGGCTGTTAGTTCATCAAGAAAGCTTGTTTCTTGACCCGAAATCGCAATCTCAGGAGATTTTCCAGTTCCAAAGTAGCCTGGATAGCTCCCAAATGAAGAGCTCGCAGAGCACTCCACTTCCCTCTGCGGGATTAGATTGTGTTCCTCGGGGACAATGTTGGTGTTGCTGTTGTTGCTATTAAGAATCCATGACATAGATTGTAGCTGTTGTTCCAAAGGAATCTGAATCCCATCTTGCATCTGAGAATAGATGAAGTCCGGTTTTGAGATTTGATTGTTTGAGTGAGAGATTATAAAAAAGGAAAAATCATTCGAGTAAATAAATTACCGAGCATGTTGACCAATCTTTAACAAAGTTTGCGTTTTCTATTTGCATTGCCTGTTGCTGCTGCCCCAATTGTTCCTTATGAGCACGCAGTTGATCTAGAGACTGCCTAATCGAAATCTCGAGCTGTCCCAAGTGATCAACGTTGTTTATCTTTTCTGGTTCTGTCCAATAACTGCAGAACATATATGATCCACAAACAAGTATGAAACAGAGAACGAAAGCAAAGAATCATCTTCAAAAAAAGAGATGTGTACCTTAATCTTCCATGTATCTCAGAAATCCGAGCTTGCAGAAGCCTTGCTTGAGTACTCAGATCCTCTGTTGTTGAATTACTGAAACCAGAGAACAAAAAAAACAAACATGAGAAAACGTTAAGGTTCATATGAATGAAGTTCACTTGCAAAAGATTCTGATTAGAAAACTGAATCCTAGTCACCTTGAGGCTATAAATTCGCGTATATTTACATCGTGATCCAACTTTTGGAAAGTTTTCTTCAAGGCCTGAGCTTTCGAAAGAGAAACATTTGAATCAGCAACCAAACGAAAAAGCTTCCAGGAGAATCGGTACTAAATTCAAAATACACAAAAGACTTGTCTTTGATTGTGAGAGAAAACAACTTACTTCAAGACCTTCAAATTTCCTGTTGTCAAAAAATGCACCAATCAGTTAAAACAAGAACACTAAAGAAAAACATTATTGATAAGAAAGAAATAAAAAAAAGAACAAAAACCAGACTTTTTTGTTCTTTCGTTGGGTGGAATTTGAGAGAACTTAGCAATCACCTCTTCAATACTGCTGAATAGAAAAAAATAACAGAAATAATAATCATTTACACAATCCTGACAGAGACATAGATGATTATGTATGTTTGGAAAGAAAAAGCAAGAACAAGGGACGTTACCTTCTTCTACCGAGACATAAGGAAGGTTTCCCAGTAGGAGAGAACATAAGAAGAACAATATCAATGTCACATAGAATTGATAGCTCATTAGCCTTTTTCAAGATCCCATTTTTCCTTTTAGCAAATGTTGTTTGGCGTCCATTTGGGTTCTCTAACTTCTTTATCTTCAGTTTAACCCTTCCCATCCTGTCACAATCATAATCAAATTCAAAATCCCTTCTTTTTCTTTGATTTTGTCTCTCTGTGTGTGTGTTCTTGATAAGCAATTTTACAAACACATTTGACAAAATCTCTCTCAAGTAGGATCCGATCATTCATTCATTCTGATCCTCAATCCAAGACAATATTCAGAACTCATTGCAATATCACAAACCAAAAACGAAAAGCTTTCCAGAATTTAAGAAATACGATCACACACCCAGGATCATGATTCCAATTTCATCACTTTGGGTTTGAAATAAAAGTGTGATCTTTTTCCAGAATTGTGAAAACCCTAATCGTTAATCTGTTGGGTGATAAGAAGAAGGAGAAGAAGAAGAAAAAGGAAAGGGAGGAAGAAAGGGAAACTTACCCAAAGAAGCAAATTCAAACGCCAAGCTGATACTAACCATGGGGGAGATCTTAAAAAGGACCTCTCGAGAAGAAGGAAAAATCGAAACGAAGAAATCAAAAACCAGAGGTAGAGATAGAGACAGAGAAGACGATTGCGGTTTACATGAGACTCTGCGAAAAAACCGGTCTTATGATAGACCCGCTTGAGAATAGGGATTCCCCATTGGAGAAGAAAGATTAAAAACTCAATTCCTTCAAAACGCAGTCGTTTCGTTCCATATCTGACTGTAACACGTCGAAATGACATTCTTACCCTCCTCCATAGTTTATCTACTCACTCAAGCTCAAGTGAAGTGAGAAGATTTGAAACTCCGATGATGATTTTACGGTGCGGGCTCTTTCAACCGCCGTGTATCTCCGCCGTGAGAGCTAGATGTTTCGCCGGAGAAACTGCCGACACTGGAATTCTCTTCCGAGAGAAGCTAATTTATCTACAGGACCTCAACGTTGATCCTCACAAGGCTCTCCGAGTGAATCCATCTCTCCGCGCTGCTCCAATCTCCTCCGTCCTCTCCGTCGAGACTCTTCTCTCTTCGACCGGACTCTCAAGACCAGCAGTCGGTAGGATTCTCGATATGTTCCCCGATTTGCTAACCTCCGACCCCGAATCCGAAATCTTACCGGTCCTGCGCTTCTTATCCGACGAGATCTCGATTTCCGAGCAAGACATCCCGAAATCGATCTCTCGCTGCCCTCGATTGCTCATTTCCTCGGTCGATTTCCAGCTCCGTCCGGCATTGGCGTTCCTCGAAACCCTAGGATTCGTCGGACGCGACGCGATTTCGTCGCGAAACACGGTTCTGCTCGTGTCTAGCGTGGAGCGAACCCTAATCCCCAAAATCGAGTTCCTCGAAGAAGGATTAGGGTTTACGAGAGAAGAGGTGGCGAAGATGGTTGTGAGGTCTCCGGCGTTGTTGACTTACAGCGTGGAGAACAATTTAGCTCCGAAAGTTGAGTTCTTCTTGGAGGAGATGCGTGGAGACGTGAAGGAGCTGAAACGTTTTCCTCAGTATTTTTCTTTTAGCTTGGAGAGGAAGATAAAGCCGAGGCATAGATTGCTTAAGGAACATGGGATTTTGATGCCATTGTCGGAGATGTTGAAGGTTAGTGATGGACTGTTTAACAATTGGCTTTTAGAGCTACGGCTTAGGTCTGTTGAGAGGAGATGTTGAAACAATGTGTAAGCTTCTTTCTTTATTGTAGATTAAGCTTTGTTTACTAAAATTTTGAGAGATGAATTTGCCAAAAAGTTTTGCACTTCGAGACATGCCATGACACTTCACTTGAGCTTGTATATAGTTTCTTGTTCCAAAGATTGAGAAATGTTTTGTTAGATTAAGTTATGACTTATGAGGAAAATTTCTTTGAAGTTGTCTACTTCAGGATGTTGGAACAGAGATTATGTTAAATGTGTGCCTTGTACATACATTGCTTTGAATGTGTGTTGCTTTCAGGATATTGAGTTTAGTTTGCAAACAATGTTAATGAGAAAAGTTGCTTAACATGAGCATGTACATAGTTTTTATTCAAAGATTAGGTTCAATGGATCATGTAATGTGTAAGTAAGAACACAAATGAAGAT